AAAGAGACATACACTTCCTACTACCATTCTTTGCCTCTTCTTTTTTTTCACCTTCTCTAACTGTCACATTTCCTCACACACTACTCCACCTCTTTTTCTCACCAGATTAAAATCATAGATTAGAACAAAAAAAAAATCATGGTTTTGATGAGCTTTTAATTAATTCCTCACGAATGGAGAGAAAAGGAAAAGACGATAAGTGAGATAATAGATGGGTCCGGGCGCTAACGCGGCAGCATGTCAAGGTAAATCGAACGGTTTCCATAAAGAAAACGAGAAACTGTCGAATTATGAGAAAATAATCGAGGAGGAACGTGCGGACACTATCCAGCCGACGCTGTCACGGCCTCCTCTGATGCGCCACTGCATCAGCCAAGCATCGTTAGCCAATTCGTATCTAGCGGTATATAATTTTTCATTTTGTTTATTTGACGTCTTTAATTAGAAAGTGTACGGCATGCATAAGATTGAGCTTCTAGCATTATTAATCGTTTTTGTAGGGATGTCCTATAGAGAATGGTGTGAAGTCTTCATCGGGCAAGGATTCCGAATATTCGCCCATATTTCGTTCGGGAAGTTGTTCTGAGATGGGTCCAAAACCGTACATGGAGGATGAGTTCATTTGCGTTGATAACCTCTCCGAACATCTTGGCTCGTCCGCCAATGGTTTCACTTCTCCCGGTGCATTTTATGGTGTACGCGAAATATCGATTTTTTTTGCATACTCTCCTTTTTTAGATAATTTCAAACGACTCATATCAGTCGTGAACATATACCATATTTTCAGGTGTTCGATGGTCATGGAGGCACAGATGCCGCTTCTTTCACCAAGAAGAATATCTTGAACTTTATCGTTGAGGATTTAGATTTCCCACATGGGATGAAGAGAGCCCTAAAGAATGCTTTTGTGAAAGCCGATCATGCGCTGGCGGACGCCAAGAATCTCGATCGATCGTCTGGGACCACTGCTCTCACTGCCCTCATGTTGGGAAGGTAGTTTATCAGCTATCACTTAACTTATTTGATATCAATTTAAGTTTAATTTTATCATGTAACTTGAAGTTTCATCAAAGTATACCCTAAAAATTTGTATGTGGCACCAAGATGTTGTACTCAAATAAACCCATGAAGTCAAATTTGCTTATCAATTGAACTACCAAATATAAGGGTCAATTTGGCAAAATTGAGTATTAATACACAAAATCTTGGGTGAGACTGTCTAACCATTAGACTGGTTGACCCTCCAAACAAAAATGCATACCAATGAAAATAGTATGTCGACCTAACAGAACACCTACCGTATACGGTTGTAGGAAAATGATAATCGCGAACGCGGGGGACTCACGGGCGGTGCTAGGGAAGCGGGGCCGGGCGGTGGAGCTATCTAAGGACCACAAGCCCGAGTGCACGTCCGAGCGGGCCCGGATCGAGAAGCTCGGCGGGGTGATCTACGACGGGTACCTCAACGGGCAG